TGCTATGAGACAACAGGGACAACCAAGGATGGATTGAAACCTCCAAACTTTTCTATTTATAACTTGACTCTGTCAGGTATTTGTTACAGCGTGGAAAGACGACTAACATAATGGTTTTTCATAATGATTTTGGGAGAGAGAATTAACCCAATTCTGGCTGTGTATCTCAGCTGTGGAAAACCCTGAAAGACTCAGGCTTAGCAAGATGGTGACTTTATCTTGATTAAATTAAAGGAAGAGTCAGCTTTAGAGTCCAAAAGGGAGCTGGGGCCATGCCCTCGTAAGTCTTCCTGTAACCCTATAACCAAGATTAAGCTACAACTCCATAACCATTTGCTTTGGGCTCTCACTTCCATTTCTCAAACTCCACAGGTAATGATCCTTGCAAAGTGTGCTTCCCAGGGGCTCAGGCCAAGGGCTTCCAAGTAGGTTCAGTTCAGTAGGAGATACCAGCAGGAAATCAGAGGGTGGGAGGAAGAGAGAAGCCATGGTCTTTCTCCCCATCCTTCCTTCAGCTTCTGGCTGCACCTCCAACCAAGACTCTGACTCCTTGTGATTCTGACCTATGCCAGGAGGCCCAATTCCAGGGTTTCTGAAGGCCACTCCTGCCCCTAATGCCCCTAGCCCTGCAGGTGACCAAGGCTTCCTTCTTTTGCTAATTTCTATCTTTCTTTGATGTTCCTGCTCAGTTTTTCAGATCTTCCAACACCTCTGTGAATGTCCCCAATATTAAATTTCCTGTATCAAACCAGCTGGCATGAGCCCCAATTTCCTGTCCAGACTCTGCCTGATCCAGTGGATTAAAATAAACCATTAACTGACATCATTCCAGACCCCAGATAATTCAATTTAAATCAACATTAAACATTTATAAATTTCCTGCACTGAAATAATTATTCAAAACTGCTGTACAAACATGAAAAACCTATCATTTTGTTAGAACTGATATATGCAAATTGAAGAAAAATAAGGAAAAAGAATCACCCAGATAAAAAGTTATTGTTAAACTACTTACAATTCGAGCACTCTGAGATAAAATTTCTGTTAATTATTTCTTACATTTACTTCCAACTTATACCATGACATCTATGCTTTGTCATATATCAAAATTCTAAAACACCATTTGTATGAAACAATAGAAATTTCTGTAGCTCTTATCAATATAAATCTTAAAGCCTTCCATGATCTAATTTCTTCATATTTTATAACTTACATTTTCATTTGAAATTATATTCCATTATCACCTTTCCACATCAATAGGTAAATATGTACAGTAACATTAAGTAGAAACAATAAAACTCAAATCCTTCATATGCGATTGTCTAGATATGTCTGGAATGGCTATTGCTGGCCATTTAGATCACACTGCTTGACAGAGGTCCTTGTGGATATCTGTCCTTTCTACATTATTGCCTTGACCGGAAGTGGGTCATTACTGGGGTACATGTATAGTCATACACTGCTTAACAACATAAAATACATGTACACAAATCTAAATGTTGTAACCTACTCTGCACCTAGGCTGTATGGTCTGTGTGTATAGATATACAGATAAATGATAGCCTGTTGCTCTTAGGGCCATGATAAACAAAACCGCATCAGATTAAATGAGCACAAGAGAAAATGATGCAAACAAGAGACCAGGTGAATATGAGGCGCGTAAGGCTGCTGCCAGCACAACACAGAATACTATTCTATAGTGAGCATTTTTATGAACAGAAAGAGTACACGACCAAATGATGACAACAAGTCTAGTGTAGTAAATACTTGATGCTTGTCATCAAGCATTAAGTGCTGTGCGTAATTGAATATGCCCTACTCGTGCACAAGTCCTTGGAGCAGTGCAGTAGGTGTGTTGCATGCACTCATCACTGCACAGGAGCAATGCATGGCGCGATGGCATCACTACGCTCTAGCAATGTTTTAGCACCATCCTATGTGTGGTTGGTCCTTCATTGACCTAAATGTTCCTATGTTGAGCTTGACCGTATTTTTGAGGCTTATCATAAATTGTGAATGTTTGTAAAAAGAGTGATTCTGGAACCCAGGCATGGTGGTTCTCACCTGTCACTTGAGAGACTGAGGAAGGAGGATCACAAGTTTGAGGTCAGCCTGGGCTATATAGTAAGACCCTGGTACCATCAGTATCTTGTAACGTGCAAGTGCTCAGTGGGGAAGAGACAAAAAGTCTAAGCAGGGAACTGGTATCAAGAGGAAGAGGAAAGGGTGCTTGGTATACAGAAAAACAAGGGTCCTTTATGTAAAACTGAGATCCTCACATTCCTCCTTGGAGTTCAGCCTCTCTGCCCATTTCACCCATCCCTCAAGATTAAAGCTGATGAGTTTATCGTTAGCTTTCAGCAAAAGGATTAAACACTGGTGTATTGAAATGAGCAAGATGTGTTCTTGTAATTCATTGCTTTTAAAAACTAAGAAGCCGAAATCTACAAATGATTTCAATGTTTCCTATCCAGTGAGCTTATTCAAGACTCTCCTGGGTACTTTTTATATTCAAATACAGATGCTTCTTAACTTACAATGGGCAACATCCCAATGAACTCAATGTAAGTTGACACATCACAAATGAAAAGTACATTTAATACATCTAGGCTGCCCATCACTGTAGCTCAGCCTAGCCTATGTTACTTATCCACAGTTGGGCAAAATCTTCTAACACAAATCATTTTTTATGAAAAGAAATGGTGAGTAATTCATGTAATATATCAGACATTGTACTGAAAGTGAAAACCAGAATGGTAGTATGGGTGCATTTTGGTACCATTATAAAGTCAAATAAATCTTGAGCTATCATAAGTTCGGGACCATCTGTACTTTCTTGAGTGGGCAAGGAGTAGCTACAGTTACGAATACTCTGAGGAATTGCCATAGGTTCTTCACTCTTTAATTCAAGGTGTCTTGCATGGAGAAATGGACTGGCTAATGCAGGAGGGAAGTGGGGGAGATCAGCAGACCAGAATCAGTCTCTCTCTGTTCTCCACTTCGTCCTTCAACCCTCTAACTCCCATCACCTGCCTGGAAGGTCACTTGAGTCCAGTACAACCACACTCCTCACTTTCCTCCTGCTACAGCAACAGGCGCCAGGGCCCAGTTTTCACTATGGCACATGCTTTGCCTCTACCCATATATCCCATGGGCCTTCCATTAGTGTACACTGACCCTCTCACTGCACTACAAATCAGCCTTTGCCAAACTTCATTTTGCCATTTTTATAAGTCTTTTCTCCTTGTTCATTATGAACCTTGTTCATATTTAATGCAAAGTTGCAGGAAATGCACATCAGCTAAGAAAAAGAAGTAAAATCTGCAGAATTCCATCCCCAGAGGAATCACTCCATCGGGGGACTATATCCATCCATGCCTTTGATAGGTGTATTTCTGCATACATCGTTTTTCAAAAAACAAAAAAGGGATCATGCTATAAACTATGAATATTACTTTGTAGCATGTCTTCTCACCCAAAGAACTCAAGCATCTCTATATATCAATAAATGTACTTACATCATTGTGTCACTGCTATATTTAATTGGTACATAGAATTCGGTTGTTAAGATGCGCCATAATTATTTACCCTGTCTTCTCTTGTAAGATGTATAGCTGGTTTCCAAGAGTTTATCATTGCAAGCAGCATTCTGGTGGACAATTCGGTTGACAAACCTCAGTACACATTCTGAGATATGTCCTTGTAGGGTGCTTGGCAGAGAGTGTTATAGTCAAGGGTCTGCTCACTTCTGATGCATTGGGCATGCATTGATGAATGGTCCTTCCAAAATGTTACCAGAAGTGTTCTCCGACAGCTTTATCTGAGAGTGTCCATTTTCCCATGATTTCTTGATATTTCTTTTTATTTAAAACTAAATCCAAACGTTCAGTAATTAATTTCAGAACAGGATATTCTAGATAATACTCCCATTAGTATTTCTCCAAACTGGCAACTGAGAAAAGTGGCTTTTATGTTAAAATATAGTTAAACTGTCATCTTTATGTTGGCTGATCTCAACCTCTGATTAATAAAGTTATGTACTTGTGATGTACACCCTATGTCTAGTTAAGGCAAATAGAGGAAAGGGACAGAAAAAACTCATAAATAATTATCTGGATAATTCACTCCTGAAACCCTGCTGTAGGGGCAGAAAGAACATTGGTATCTTAACACTGATCTGAATCAGCTCTTTAAATCACTGCCAGTGACAGCAATCATCATTACTATTTTGATATTTAATTCTTTGCTTTTCTTTGTGATGCTAATAATCACTTCCATTGATTACCAAATGTACTTTGTCCTCACAACAGGGTAGAAAGTATTTCCCCATTCTACCAAAGAAACTGAGGCCAGAGAGGATGAGTAATTTGCCCAAGTTTACACAACTGGTCTTTGGGCAGAATCAAGATCAAAGCTCAGGTCCATCTGTCTCCAAAACCCTTGTTAGGCCCACTGAACCACATGGCCTTTGTTGGTATAGAGATGGACACTGTGCAGCTTGGGACCCTCAATCCTGGATGGGTGTTGTTATGGTTTGAATCTTGAATGTCCCTCCAAGGCCCATGTATTAAAGGCTTGGTCCCAGGATGGCGCTATTAGGAGGTGGCGGAACCTTTAGGAGATGGAGCTTAGTGGGACATTCTTAGGTCACTAGGGTGCGTGCCTTTGAAGTGGATTGTGGGAGCCTGTTCTTTCGTCTTTCCTCTTTCTCTCTTTTGCTTCCTGGCCATGAGGTGAACGGTTTTGTCTGCCACATGTTCTCCCACCATGACTTGGTACTTCACAGGCCCAAAGCAACAGGGCCAACCCATCATGGGCTGAAACCTCAAAACTATGAGCTAAAATTAACCTTTGCTCTTTACAAGTTGATTATCTCAGGTGTTTGTTGTAGGGGTGGAAAGCTAACACAGATATCTCAGGTGAACACAAGGGCTTTGTCACTTGGCTCCATTTGGAACAACTGACACTTCTTTTTTTCTTACTTCCTGTCTTCGTATTAGGTTCCAGAGAAGACACTGAAGAGCATCAAGTATATTGACAAGGAAGTAATTAACCTCAAAAAAGACCTTACACGAAGTCGGTGAGTGAGCCCCATAAGGAATGACCCATAGACCACATGACAGGGGTGAGTGGAGCTAGCGGAGGGGTGGTGGTAATAAAACCCTAAGCATTCTGCAGAGGATTTATACAAGGGTAGCTCTTTATGGAGCAGAGGACAGGAACCCTTTCTTGGTTGGACTTTCCAGGGAGTCTCTATACTGGACCTACTTCACAGCCTTGCTCAGCCAGTCTCCTACCTAGAACTTCCTTCACTTCCCTTCTTAGATCTGAATCCAACTCAAGGGTGTTCCACACTCTCCAGAAATATCTCCTTTTTACTCAAGGCCCACATGATCATAGCAGAGAGTCAGATAGACTCGGTTTTGAATACTGTCTCTGCCAGCTAGAGACACAGGAGGGGCTATTTCACCTCCCTGGATCTCTGGATCTCTGTTTCCCTTAACTGTAAAATGAGAATGAAATGAGATTGTTAGAACTGAGAAAAAAAGATGCATATAAATGCCCTCCCTGCTATGGCCTTGACTGTCCTTCCTCGCCTCACTCCCCATTCCTTGCCCCCCTGATGGTGTGAGCAAATTAAGGTCCAGGATCATATTTTATTCACCTCTGTGCTGTGAGATGGTTATCTTTTTCTCCTCACCCCTTAACTCCTTCCTAGGAGCTGGCATGTTCCAAAGTAGAATGGGGCTTTTGGCAAAGCAACTGCAAGAGTGAAAGCTGGGGAGTTTTTAAGCACAAAAGACACTTGAGGTATGCTGGAAGAGGTAGTATAGGCAATGGGGAAGATCCATGTGGCTTAGACATCTCCCACTCCAAACCAGCCACAGAGAGGGGCCAGAGAGATACTTCCTCCTTTCACTATCGTGGTCTCCAAGCCCCCAGTCTCTGTTGAGCTGCACAACGCCACAGAACTGGTACCTGAGCCCAAGAGGAGGCAAGGGAGGCAGGAGGAAGAAAAGGGTTAAAGGGATTGAGGGAGTGCTGGAGAGGGGCTCTAAAAAGGCAGTATTCCTCTGATGTGAGAGGGAGCCTCTGTCCACTCTGATGTGAGAGAGAGAGAGCCTCTGTCCACGCTGATGTGAGAGAGAGCCTCTGTCCACTCTGATGTGAGAGAGAGAGAGAGAGCCTCTGTCCACTCTGATGTGAGAGAGAGCCTCTGTCCACTGTGAGGGTTTCTGGACAGATACTGTCCATATGCAGATGCCATGGATGTAATTTTAAGTTTTTAATTAGCCACACTAAAAAGATAAGAAAAAACAGGTGAGAGTAGTTCTACTAACATAGTTTATTTAGCACAATATATTGTCAATGAACATGTAATCAATGTAAAAAAAGTACTTAATGTATGCTTTATACTCTATTTTCTGTACATGATGAAAAAGGGCAAAATGGTGAAAAACTATGAATAATGAAAAGTCCAAGGTGAATTTTATACTTAGAGTATGTTTGGACCAACCATATGGCAGTGTGCAGTAGTTGTTCTGGACTGAATTGTATCCCCTTTCCCTGACCAAAAAAAAAAAAAAAACCATATATTCAAGCCTTAACTCCCAATGTAGCTTTATTTGGAGACAAGGCCATTAAAGAGGTAATTGAGGTTAAATGATGTCAGAAGGGCAGGACCCTAATCCAATTTGATTGGTGTCCTTATAAGAAGAGGTGGCGACATCAGGGATGCGTATATAGAGAGCAGGTCATGTGAGGACTTAGCAAGAAGGGGGCCATCTGCAAGCCAGGAAGAGATACCAACTCTGTTGACACCCTGATCTTGAACTTCCAGCCTCGAGAACTATAAGAAAATCAATTTCTACATTGAAACAAGCTAGTCTGTGGCATTCTGTTATGGTGGCCCCAACAGTCTAATAATATAACAGTCACCATTGAAATCATTTTGGAGACAATGGCCCCAGCTCAACAGGGCCAGTGGGACCCAATGTGGTAGTAGCACGCAGAGTTAAGCTCAAAGACGGCATTTGAACATGGGTTCAAATGTTAGTTGTGGATGTATTGATCTCTGCCATGTCTGAAACCAAGTTGGAAGAGCTTTTGAAGCCAATGCCTCGGGAACCATGGCACTCCAGGGACTAGAGAGGGGTAAGGTTGAGAGGTCAACAGTTATCTGGGCAGCAGCTGTAGCTGGAAGCAAAGAAGGAGGACTGCGTGGCTGAGGAAGAGCCTCCCAGGGTCTGTACTCTGTTCCACAGTGGTATCAGAAGATGTTCCAAGCTTCACAGGGATGTTGGATCTGAAGTGAGGTCCAAAATACAGGATCAGCTGCTCCTCCTGGCCCCATCCATCAGAACAGACACTGACTGTACACAGTCAGTATAACCACGTCCATTCTTAACAGCTAAATATTATTATCTTGAAGTAAATGATGCCAACCCACGGCCCCTGCTCAAAGCCATGCCAGAATCTCCAGAGGCTGAGAGGTGAAGGCATCCACATCTGCATACCATCAGCTGATAACTTCATACATGACAAGGTGCTACGTCTACGTAAACCCAACATGCTAGACAAAGGTAACTCTGGTTGGCAACCCCCAAAGGAGAATGACAAGAGACAGCCAGTTGGCTTGTGCCCAGAGGCCGTCGTTGATGTTTCAGGAAATTCGTGAGTCACTTCTTGAACACAGCTATGACTAAGAATTAAATAATATATTGTAGTTACATAAATTATATTAAAATGCAGACAATAAATACTGGAAACACCCTTTCCTGATGCCTTTGGCATGTTGCTCTTATCTGGAATCTCAAGATTATTGATGGTCAGTGTCTGTGTGGTGGAAATTGCAGCAAATGCTTTCTGGGGACACTGATGTCACACTGAAGCTCAAAATCACCCGTGGGGGGAATATTTATGCCATGAAAATCAGCAAACACTGCAAATCAGGGCTTTCTCCCTCCCCACCCCCACCTTTGCCAGGGCTGGTTGTTAAACACTCTCCAGCATACCACTAGAGACAAACCCAGAAAAGGGCAAAAGTTTAAGTTCCCACTAAGCCCAGGAGACTGGGGAGGCTTGGTCCAAAGGTGACGCAGACAATGGCTTTTCTGGCACCCTTCAGATGGCAAGCAGAGTCCACCACTCCTGCCAGGCACATTTACCATGGTTCTGGAAGCTAGAATTAACATCCTCATTGGATGGACGGGCTTAGCCTACCCAGCTGCTAGACATGAAGGAGAAATGTGGGAAAGGCCAAAAAGAAAAGCCACAAGCAAGAAACCAAGAATCAATTGAACGTTCTACTTGGCCACAAGCCTGGATCCCAAAGATAATTAAAGAATCAGAAAGTCCAGCCAGGCCCGGTGGCTCACACCTGTCATCCTAGCTACTCTGGAGGCAGAGATCCGGAGGACTGTGGTTCCAGGCCAGCCCAGGCAAAAAGTTCATGAGAGTCCCCAGTTCAACCAATAGCTGACCATGGTGATATGTCTGTCATACCAGCTACAGGGGAAACACGAAAGTAGAAGGATTGCAGTTTGTGCTGCCCCGGGCATAAAGCGTGACCCTATCTCGAAAACCGCCAGAGCAAAAAGATCTGGGGTGTGTCTCAAGTGGTAGAGCACCTGCCTAACAACCCCAGTACTGCCACACACACACACACAAAAAAATCAGTGCACACACTTCAGACGAAAAGGTCCTGTTTGCCAGAGAAAGTTGATGTACAAGAGGTGCAACACTTTCTCCCCAGCTAGTGGGCCCATCTCCCAGCGTTAAATGAGGCAAATTATTAGCAAGGAAGATGCTGCCTTTTCCACTGACTTTTTTGTTTTTTGTTTTTTTAAATCCATTTCACCTCCTATTAGAGTCTCACCCACCTTGAGCCAAACACCCTGACTGTCTCCTGGATTTTTATTTAATATTCCAGCCCTCTCATAATTCAATTACACCATCCCTGGTTTCATGGCCAATTTAACATGATGCTAAAAAGAATAAAACTCTTAACTGCTTTCTCCTTGCCGGTTCCACCAGATGTTTGGTGGAGCTAAGCAGCATGCAATGCACCTTTAAAGTCGCTGAATTTCTGCGAGAGGAAGTTGTCCACTGGGGCCTTTGTATCAGCCTAGTTCTTGGTCCACTCTTGTTCCCAGTTCTTGTTCCTCCAAAACCATCAGCACTTATTATTGCAAATGTGGCATGGAATATAAACCTCTCTGCAACCTAAATAGCTGAAATGTTGAACCTGAAGCCATGATCTACCCAAGGCAAAGTTTAGTTGGGCACAGGCAATTGCAAGTGAAGTGATGAATTACACACACACACAGCAGGCCCCAGCAAGGTACAAATTCTGCACGTGTTTAGGAGATCTGAGACTCTTCTTTCCAGCTGCATTTGGTAGCGAGCGGAAGAAAGGCAATTAGACATAACTGAGGTGGAATTTTTAGCAAAAGAAGAAGCTATTTTTGTGTGTGCTGAGTTAGGCATTCTTCTCTGCTGTGGTTTGGGCCATATGTTAAGGGCTTGTTCCCCAGGATGGCACTATTGGAAGATGGTGGAACTCTTAGGAGGTGGGGCTGGGTGGGAGGTACTTAGGTCATCAGAGGGGATGTGCCCTCAAAGGGGATCTTGGGGACTCTAGTCTCTTTGTTTTCCTGGCTCCTTTGCTTCCTGGTTCACGTGTGAGTGGTTTTGTTCTGCCATGTACTCCCACCATGGTATGCTGCCTCACCACAGGCCCAAAGAATGGGGCCAGTCAACCAGTGGCTGGAACTTCCAAAACTGTGAGCCAAAATATATCTTTACTCTTTATAAGTTAATGCCTTTGGGTATTTCATTATAGTGACAGAAAAATGACTAATACATGCTTAGTGTCTCCTTGGGCCTCTGTGCTCATTCATTTTTTTCAACAAATGTTTATTGAATGTAGTCTCACCAAGTGTATACAATGCATTGCTGTGTATGAAAGGCAGCAGTGAACAAAATACACAAAACTCTTGTCCTCAGTGAATATGAGTTTGATAATTTATTTCAACTATAATAGGGTAAAGACAAAAGCAAGTGAGCATGGGGCAAAAT